ACCAAACCCAGTTATTAAATTTGGAAGCAGTAAGGGAACCGAGGCCAGGTCAGGTAAATCCTACTGACATCTAATCAAAGAGAATGTATAGAGGGTCTGCGGAGATAATTCAGCTTTAGACACAAAATCCAGTCACAGAAGCTTTGCATAGACAACATGGCTGTAACCTACTTGCTCAGAAAAGCAGGTTCTGCCTAACAGCACCTCAACAGACTTTCTCATTTCCCAGCTCACCTCAGCCTGGGGAGAAAGCCTGCTTTCCAGGGAACCACCAGAGGAGCACAGCAGCACACCAGACCCAGCCCAGACCCACGCAGGCAGCCAGTGCCTGAGAAAAGCAGCCATCTCTCACCAGTCTGAAGGATATTTCTATATGACAAGTTACACATTTCCACCCCCACCCCTCCCCCAACATGCTTTAAGATTTATTCTTTTAAGGTGCAAATATGAAAGATAAATAACCACAGGAGATCCCTCTCCTGCAAGCAGGCGCAGCACTCACATCACTAGCCCATCCAAGAAGAGGAATAACACTCTCTTACCTGTTTTTCCCCAGCACCACCACTCAAGTACAATGGTGAAACAGAAGGCAGAGGCTCTAACATCTGGCAACACAAAGGCAAACATGCCCTCTCCCTGCTCCAGAGGTCTCTTACCCCCACAGAGGGGCCAGACAGTGAAGGAAACAGCGCTGGCTCTCACCCACACAGGTGGAGATACTGGCACCTTGGTAATTGGCTTCCTACACCCTCAGCCAACCAGGCTAAGGCTAATTACAGGTATTTCAGGTGCAGCAATAAGAGTAATTGCAACAGAAAACCCTGCAGCAGAGCCTCTCTTGGTTTCAGCTTGATGCACTGAGGTAACACTCAATGCACTAAGATGAGAGTGTTTCATAAAAACCTCAGAATCGCTGCAAAAACTACACCTCCCAGGAAGGAAATGTGCTCAGAGACCACCAATACATTTAATTTCTTCTCGCTCCTTGATGTTTGCCTGGGTAGGAAGGGGAGTTTTAGATGGAGAAAGTTCAACAAAATCTCTTGCTGGTGGGAGGGGTGGATTCACGCTGCTGTGAATTGTACCGATGCTACAGAGTGTTTTTACAAGTACTTTTGGGTAATTCCATAAAGTGACTGGCAACCGTGCTGCCACCCCTCAGAGAGGCAAAGGGCTCGGGAGCACTTTCCTGCAAATGCCTTTGCATTTAAGTAGCTTAGCTGTTTTCAGACGTGTCAGTTAAAATTGGGCATGGTGGGTTGATTAAACCAATCTCCACATCCAGCTGGCTCACGCAGAGCATCAGATACAATATTCTCAGTCCTGGGCAAGAATTATTGGAGAAGTTTACCATGTTCTCCTGGTTTTATTGTTTTAATTTCTTGCCAGAAAGGTTGAACGGTGTTGCTGATGTTAAAATGCACCTCAGCTATGCATTGCATTTAATAGTCCTGTTGAACACCTACATTTTATAGATGTTTTAAACACTTATAATTTAATAGCCCTATTTAAACACCTCATTGAATTCTGAAAATAACTTTGAGTTTTACTACAAATTTCTTTTGCCACAGAATGGTAATAGAGATTTTTTAAAAATAATGAATCCAGTTGCCTGATCCAATATGAGCCATATTCATTTGGGCACAGAGCTTGTCACAGCTCTTTTTCAGTGCTTAAGTAGTAAAATTTCATTTGGCTCCCTGTAGAGGTTATTTTGCATACTATAGCAAAGACCCTGCAACAGGAAAATCTCATGTATTCAGCATAACTGTGCCTTTATCACCTTATTCATTACATCTCTTCCTACCACAATAAATAATTTCTTACAATTCCCTTCCTTGAAAACTACAGAGTTTCAGACTGGTGAGTGGTTTATGTTCCAAATCCTTTCCTATTTAGCCAAATTATATGTATTTCACTTTTATTATCTTCCCAGGAACAAGCTCCTCCAAGTCATCATGGCCAGCAGGTCTGACCGCAGCTGAAATGCATCATTACAGGTGATGCTTGGGGTCAAATGCTCTCTCCAAAGGTATATGCCTATGCTTTGAAGCCTCTTGCTTCAAGGTGTTTCTACATCCATCATGCAGAGTGCCTGGGAAATGCACCCACTCGTACGGGCTGGGAGCTTCTTTCCACTTTGTCTCCCAGCAGCTCAGTCTGGACCATCAATTTAATGGCCCATTTCATTGTCTCTGTACAAACCATGTCACATTAGCCTGGTTCTACCGACACCAATTTATCATAGTTCACAGCTTTCCTAAGGACAATTTTAGTCTATCTTCACTTATTTGATGTACCTTTAAATGAAGCATTGTCTAAGTTCACTTGACTCTCTTGTTCTTATAGAGATGTTGAAGAGACCTGATCATTATTCTTGCCTAGTAGATATTTTCCTAAACACTGTTTTTTCTCAAAAACACATTACATAGTCCTCAAAGGATCTGACCTTGCTAAATGAAAATGTCTCCATGTCTACCTTCTTCTGAATCCAGGGAGAGCAGAGCTGAACTTCATCTGTCTCATGACCAAACTCATTAAACTCCTAACCACACCATTGTTTCATGAGAAATTTTCATGTTACATCCAGTATCGCTGAGGGTGATTTTGCACACTGTATTTACTCACCCAGCCTGTCCTAGAGGAGTGCATTTGAACTCAGGTAACAGCCCCATTGTTCAGTGGACAGCACAGAGACCTGGGACAACACCTGAAGGCCACACTTCTATCCACCTGAATTACTGCCTTTCTAATGCTCCAGGATGCAACAATGCAGGCTCTCAGATGTAAAAGTGTTAAATATTAGGTTTGCTGTGAAGCTTACATACAGCTACAAGTCTGTACAATGGTTACAGGTAATCTGAAACAATAAGACTTCACCTTCAGAGACCATACTAACGAACAATGGCATTTATTACTGCATTTTCTTTGGTATCCAGGGAAATTACTGTAAGAACAAACATTTTCCTTGCATTTGATCTCATTTCTGTATTTCAGGTTTATACAAGCTTTTAAACACAAAACAGATGATCTAGCCCTTGGGCATATAAATAGTCTCCTTGGTTTTATTGAGATTACATGAGTCCACAAACTGCAAAAGTAAGAACCTGCAGGACCCTTATGTAACATAAGATCAGAGTTTTAAGAGGCCAGAGATTTAAAGCAAGTGAAGGTCTCATATAGTGTCTGCACTTTGCAACACATAGTGCAAGCAGGTGAGAAAAGTATTTGACACAGTGCACGAGGCTCTACAGCGCTGCATTGTGAACGTTAAATGAATTCCAGCATCTAACTACTAAGGTAAGTTCTTTATGTATTTTTTTAAATTTATAAGACTGCCTATAGATCTTCTCTAGCCTTTTGGAAAGCTGGAAAACTTGAGGCAGGCAATAAAGGGAATCAAAATATATTCAGCTCTAGGTAAATTAGATATTCCTAATGCATTCTTTTTTTCCTGTGCAATTTAGCAAATTAGTTTACATTGTCTGACAAGTTGTCCTGGAAAACATAAAAGCTCAGATTAATTTTAGGTTTGTAGAAATGACAATTCAATATTTGCCTATTTACATCCACCCACGCTAGAGCTAAGAGCCATATCTCCTATGTCGTGTCAGATATATCAATACCAACAAGTTAAACCTCCTCCTCCTCCTTTCCCAGTTTATTAAGAGAAGCAGCGGATGCCACGCGGTGAGGAATTGCCTCTACAGGATGTATCCTCACCTGCTGCCTCAGAAACCTTCCCATGAAATGCCTCAGCAACCACTCACAATTAGCTTTAACTCCCATGTGTTGTCTCAGAAGCACGTTAGTCTGCTCTGTCTCTTCAGAGTTAATAGCACCTGGGTTTATTTATTACCCTGTGGTGTTTACATATAGTCATTTCAATACACTGCCTTCTGATGGATAGCTTCGTAATGATGCATACAACATTTAAGCGGTGTGTTTGTAAGCAGAAGAAAATGAAAACGCCTCGTGGGCTATTTTGGCACGGTACTGAGATGATGTACAGTTTCACATCAGGTGTAAAGATAACACACTGCATAAGCCAGTCTTGAGGGAAGTATTGCTAAAGGAAGACAGACAGAATTTGCTCTTAAAAGAGCTTCCATGCTAAATGCATGCAACTAGACCCTCCAAACTAAATTTCTCCCTGTTGCAGCTACTATGTTAGGAATGCCAAAAAAAAAAAAAAAATTTTTTTAAAAAAAAAAATCAATCTAAGATTAATTACTTCATTCCTGTGACCATTCTCAGAGCCAGGATTGGTCCCCGCAGCGTTTCCTGGATGACTTCATACGAATCTAGCAAGCTGCCTGTACTGCACCCGACAAAAGCTGTGAGATTTTACATGTTGACAAACAGCTGAACTCTTGGCTACAGGAGCCCTACATTGATCTGCTTACTATTCACGGGCGTGTATTTAGAGAAGCTGAAATGCCTGCTGAATACCGAAGCTGAAAAACCCTGTAGGGATACCCCAGGAACCATAGCCACATCTTTTTTCCCCAATAATTACAGAGCAAAAAGAAGAGAGCAGTTATACCCAGAGAAATTCTGCCACAGCAGCATGACCACTGCCCCGCAGAGCCCTCCAAATCCTCAGGCATCTTTTTTAAACAGTGTTTTAAATTGTTAGCAGTTGAAGATGACTCCCTCCTTTCCGAGCCTACAACATAACGCAGCCTTAAATTTCAGTTTCCCTTATAAACTTACTGCAGCTCTGTGCACATTAGGAATTGCATCTGGTAATCTGTATTTGTTCAAGCCTCCTTATCTAAAGGAAAAACTGCTGCTTGATTTAAGATTCCTTGAGGAAATCTGCCTGTACATCTCTGGCTGGCGAGTAAAACAAACAGCATCCATGTCCCAGTAGGCATCCGCCACCCCCCCGACATCTCTTCATTTAATTAGTTCTAAGAAAGCCAGTCTATCCAAAAGCTGACAAAGCTGCACAAGAGAAAGGCTTAAGTATTTATTTAGAAAATGAAATACATTACCAGCCGCATTGTGAAGTTTCTGAGTCACCTGCAGGGAAATAAGGCAGAAATCCGACGTGCACACACTACTCCTGACTGTACCGGCGCCCAGGCTGGCTCTTACAGAATAGCAGACGAGAGCGAAGCTGCAAACCTTTGAGTTGAGCTCACTCTATAGGCATCAGAAAAACCTCAAAGAAAAAAAAAAAAAAAAAAAAAGAGAGAGCCAGAGCGGGAGCGAGCAGCCCACAGACAGCGAGATGAGAAACTTCTGGCAAGTCTCCAGCGCAGGAATGAATTCGCTGTCATTCAGAGACGTATAGCGATGGAAATGAAGGGAAACTTGAATTTACAGGCGGATTTGGATCCTGCTCTAATCGTTCTGCAAAGATGTGCAGGTTGCAGCTCAGCTCATTTTACAAGGCTCATCTAGGAACAATGCTGGATCACAAATTAAATAGCAGGGTAGGTATGTATATACGCACATACACATATGTGTATAAGCCAAGGTGCCAGCACAAACTTCAAATGGCTCATTCCGTCAGCTATTTGCTGTGAATTTTATTAAACCCAGCACAGAGGCACGGTGGCAACTCAAATTCCTTTTATGGATCATAGTGGATTCATAGGGGTTTCTAATACTCTTTAGGCACATAAACAAATTTGTTTAGTTTTTCCCCAGTATTATCAGGAAGCTAAAATACATTTTACAAAGATAATTCACATGTTTCCAAGCATGTGGCAAAAGTGTCAGCACACTGAGACTAAACTTGTCCAAACATTTATGAATTTCTAGCCAACAGAAGGAAAATAAACAAGTCCATAGTTGAAATAATGGGGAAGAAATATTGCTGGTCACCAATCTTTCATATACAAGTCAAAAGACTCCATAAGGAATAACCAACCATCATCACTAAGTCCTTAAATCTGAATTTGTGGAAAAATGTAGAAAATGGTGTTGTTTAATGCTGGTAGTCAAAACAGTTAATTTTGTTGTTTTGCACTGAACCCCGGCTCCAGTATGTCTCAGGGATGTGCAGTCTGCTGTGTTTAGATATTTTGCAGTCGTGTACGCAAAGTGAATGTCAACTCATGAAAAATTTGTAAATAAACACTTTCTTGGCATGAAAAGGGAAAAGAGGCTCCACACAGTGTGGGTTAAACTGCGTAACTGAATTCAGCTTCTTTATTCCCTACTCTGATAATGTATTCATTTAAAATCTGGTTACAAGTTGAGTTGTCTCAGTAAATATAGCTCCTAATAATTACAGCTCTCCAAATTAGAAGTAAGGTTCCTGTAGTTCTGGATTGCTTTTAATTTAGCTAACAAAGAGGAGTAAAAAGTCAAGCTAAGCTAAATAACTGGAGGGACTCTTTATTGCTTGTTTTCTTTCTATTAATAAATCAGCCCTCTGTGGGAAGAAAATCAAACAGTAACAAACAAACAAGAATTCATTAGTGACACAGAAGGCGATGTCGAGGAAGGCAGAAGAGGTCTGTGACAAACAGCAAAATATTTGCCACCTATTTTTGGGTATATAGAAGCAGAAACATCCTTAATGTCAGCGACGCTGCAACATTTGATTCATCTCCAGTTTTCAGTTCCAGCCCTGCAGATGGAGCGGCCAAGAGGCACCAGCTGTGCCCAGCTGTGTCAGTGTCAAGTTCAGCAAGGCACCGTATGGCTGCTGGAGCCCAGGCTGTCCCCACCGCCCCAGCGCTGGGAACGTGGCTGTGTTTGGTAATCACCGGCCACATCCATCTGCCACCGGATAAGCACAAAGGCATTTTTCTAATAATCCCATTTCCCTTCTCCTGTTCGTGCCTCCCTTTCCCTCCAAAGCCAGTGGCACGCTGAAACTGGATGGGAGCTCCAGTCAAACAAGTTGACCACGAGGCCAGCAATGTGCCCTTGTGGCCAAGAAGGGCAATGGTCTCCTGGGAGGCATTAAAAAGAGCAAGGCCAGCAGGTCAAGGGAGGTCATGCTCCCCCTCTACTCTGCCCTGGTGAGGCTGCATCTGGAGCACTGGGTCCAGTTCTGGGCTCCCCAGTTCAAGAAAGACAAGGAACTACTGGAGAGAGTCCAGCAGAGGGATACGAAGATGATCAGGGGACTGGAACATCTTTCTTATGAGGAAAGATTGAGAGACCTGAGACTGTATAGCCTGGAGAAGACTGAGAGGAGATATTATCAGTGCTTATAAATATCTAAAGGTAGGTGTCAAGAGGATAGGGACAGACTCTTTTCAGTGGTGCCCAGCCATAGGACAAGAGCACAATCTGGAACACAGGAAACTCCATCTGAACATGAGGAAAAATTCCTTTACATTGAAAGTGCCAGCACACTGGAACAGGCTGCCCAGAGAGGTTGTGGAGTTTCCTTCTCTGGAGACGTTCAAAACCTGCCTGGACACAATGCTGTGCAACCTGCTCTGGGTGAACCTGCTATGGGAGGCGGATTGTTCTAGATGATCTCCAAAGGTCCCTTCCAACCCCTACCATTCTGTTATTCTGTGAAATGCATCCTGGCATCTGCAGGGTGCAGATCCCGGGGCTGGCTGGGTGTCCTCCTCAGGATGTCATATCATTCCTTCTTCAGGGACACACGCACTGAAGCCAAACCAATGCCATGGGTGGGCTGGGAAGGAGGAGGTTTCCTGGCAGCCACCGAGCAATCAACCCACCACAACACAGCTCCTGAAACTTAAGCTGAAATCTCTGTCCAAAACTTACTGCCTGGTTTGCATTGCAAATCCACGTTTCTTACCAGGGACTACAGGTGTTTATATTGGTAGATAACCTGGTTTTTAATAGCATGGTTAGTACAAGCTAAATGGGGTATCTCTTAAAAAGCAGGGAAGATCAGGCATTTCAGGACATGAAGAAACTGGCCCAGGCACTATTACTGTTGAAGGCAAAAGGGGTGATTTGGAAACTGCATGTACCATCATGTTCAGGTTGATACTGGATATTTTTGTCTAACACTGCTGGCAAACCCCACTTTGAGCACGGGGCTGATGGCTTTTTCTACCTCCAAGTTGGACTGAAATCACTGAGCAAACCACAGGCTGACAACACGAATGTAGGGAACAGAAAGCTCATGCAGAGGCAGACAGAGCATCTGCAGGATGGCTGAAACCTGGAAAGCTGGTTAAAAACCGTGCTTAATTTCCCAGGAGGATCCTGTGCTGGGTGGGTTCGTGGCTGCAGTGGGGAGAGCTGTCTCCTCGCCTGCCTCATCCCCCAGCACCGTCACCCAACAGCTTCTTGGCCGGGGATCTCATTGCTGGCAGCAAGTAGGAAGCAGAACAAAGTTTGAATTCCCAAGGCCAGACTGAGCTTGCAGGACTTGACTTTAGAGCAAGCCTGCTTTGACTCGCACACAAAGCAGCAGCAAAGCCCCATTCCCCTATTTATTAATAAAAAAATAACGAAGAGAAAGGAACCCACAGCGGCTGCCCTGGGAGCACATCCCTGAGATGGGAATGGCCAAGGGAGGCCAGGCAGAAGGGACAATATCTGGCTTTTCACTCCTGCTTGGGTTTGTGGTTTTTTAATGTGAATCTATGTTGACTTTCTAACAATTCCTCCATGCTTTCATTTACACCCATTTGCTTCTCCACATTTCCCTCAGTTTCTCCCTGTTATGGTTTATCCACAAATTATTTTTTTCAATTTGGAATTTCTTGAATTTAACCCATCTTTCACTGGAATATTTTTTGCAGCATGTTGCTTTTCCACACATTCACCTCGACCATGCACCTGAGAAATATTTTTGCTGTCAGTCTTGATTTGCATCACAATTTACTGCATCCTATTTGAATTTTCCCACCCAAACCACAAGTGACATCTGTACTTGTTCAGTCACAGGCTCCTGTAGCACCACCAGCTCCCCCAGCCCTTCTTTCTGCCACAGCAGGAAAGGACCTAAAGACCAAAGCAGCCAACCACACCAAGCAACCAGCAGACCAAGCAACCTCACCAAAGAAGAAAATACATCAGGGCTACAAAAATGGATGAAATCTCTGATTGTATGGAGGAAGTGAAACCTGGGAGACTTGGGAAAGATAGGATCATACATCTTATTTCACCAATTCCCTGCCTCTACAGGCACCTCACACTCCTGTGGCACAGCGAGTTTCTCAAGGACAGTGACACTTGGGTCTAACTAATGTCTGTGGGTTAGTACAGAGGCGCCCAGGTGCTCTTAATGGCCTGTGATACAGAAAAGGTCAGACCTGATGACCAATGGTCCTTTCTAAGGACCAACATTAAAAAGAATCTTCTACCACTTGCAGGATTTAACCTGAGGAGTAATGGCACCACAGGAAAATATTCCTCGATTTTGTGCAAGAATCCATCCATTTTAAAGCATCCCCCCCAAAGTGACAACTCCACATGTGGGGGAGAGCAGGGGAAGAAAGCTGTCCTGGTGCAAATAACTCTGGATTTTGCAAAACTAACTCATAAAGTTATTCTTTGCACCACAAGATTTTTCCACATGCAGTCCCTGATGTCCGAGATCCAGCCGTGCATGACACCCGGCATCGCCTCATGATGAGCACAAGCAAATATTTGGAAAGTATCCTGTCCCCAACCACATCCCCTATTGCTACATTTGTGCATTTAGAATACCCATTTCTGCCAAACATTTTGGCATATGGAAAGAAACATGCACTTTTTTTGACTGGGAAGATGCTGAAGCTGTCAAAGCCTGTTAGAGTTACCGGCTCTGAGGGGCTGGGCAGAGGAAGGAGCAGTAGCAGAGAGCCAGCGTGTGAATATCAGCGATACAAGGGCTTTTCCTGAGCTGGATTCTGTCTAAATTACATATTGCACTGAAAGTCTGAAATGTGTAAAATGCTCAATAGATTTATTTTTTTTTTTAAATTTGTCCTCTGTCTCCCTGTGACTGAAGAGAGATCATTACCAAGAGGTAATGAAAGTTGCTGAGCTGATGAAGCATGTTTTGCTTGAAGCTAATGTCATTTGAGGTTGGGGTGGGTTTTTTTTGATTGTTTTTCTACTTGCTGTCTGACAGCCCGCTGTGCACATCACTTCTCTTAGCTAGTGTGTCCCAACAACCACGCCAGCACAGCCATAACTTCCAGCTCCAGCACTTCCTCATTGAGCTTGACATGCAATT